CTTCTGGGAGAAAATGGCACTTTCAAAACTCTGGAAGGATCTTGCTTGTCCACCTTAATAGAAATCCCTCAACAATTATTTTGCTCATGGTTATCGCTGCTACCAAAAACTCTGAAAATAGTTTACTGCTCCCTGATGACCCAGATTCCCAAACCCATCCTCACAGGAAATTTGATCATTCTTCCTAGCCCTGACTTGGATTAGATAGTAAAGTGGAGGGAGTGAGGGAGGGAGAGAGCGAGAGAGAAAAAAGCAAAATATTAAAAAATAATTGGGGACTCTAAGTGAAGAGTATATGTTTGTTAATTGTACTATCCTTTAGTTTTTCTATTTTGAAGTTTTTCAGAATAAACTGTTGGAAAAGCAAGAAAGAGCTGAATTGGAAACCAACAAGTATAGATAAGTACATTTCATGGCATTTTTGTATGGAAAAGGAGAGTGTTAGGATAGTAAATGGAAGAGAAGAGAAGCATGTAATTTCTTGCTTTGTATGTTAAAAAAATAATCCAGGGTATTTATATACACATCTATAATTTCAACTGCATATTAACATTTGAGAAACCTTACAAAAATTTCTACCTCAGAAGTACCTTTTACATTATTGTGTTCCCATACTTTTTTTATTTGAAAATATTCCACCATGTTAATCATGACAGTATGATATTGGCAAAAGTATAAAAAAATTAGCTCAATGGAGCAGATTAGACAGCTCAGAAATAGACCTAAATACATATAGTTAACTGATCTTTGATAAAAGGGCAAGAACAATACAATAGAAAAAAAAAAGACAGTCTTTACAACAAATGGTGCTGGAACAATTGGACATCCACATGCAAAAAAATGAATCTAGACACAGACCACAGACCATACACACTTCACAAAAATTTACTCAAAATGGATTATAGACCTAAATGTAAAACACAAAACTAGAAGATAGCAGAAAAAAGCTCAGGTATGGCTATGATTTTTTAGATACAATACCAAAGCACAATCTATGAAAGAAAAAAAAAATGTGAAGCTGGATTTAATTAAAATTAAAAACTTCTGGTCTGTGAAAGACATTGTCAAGAGAATGAGAAGACAAGCCAGAAAGTAGGAGAAAATATTAGCACAAGACATGTCTGATAAAGGACTATTATCCAAAAAATATATAAAGAATTTTTAAAACCAACAATAAAAAAATGAGCACAATGACTTTAAAAATAGGCAAAAACCCTGAACAGACACCTCACCAAATAAAACATACAGATGGCAAATAAGCATTTGAAAACATACTTCACATAATATGGAAATGCATAGGGAAATGCAAATTAAAATAATGGGATACCATGCCCCTATAACTTTGGCCAAAATCCAAAACATGGACAACGCCAAATGCGGTTGTGGATGTGGAGCAATAAAAATTCTCACTTGTTGCTGGTGAAAATGCATAATTGCACAGCCACTCTGCAAGACAGTTTGGGCAGTTTCTTACAAATCTCACCTTATTTTTACCATGTCAGCCAGACATCCTGCTCCTCTGTATTTACCCAAATCAGTTGAAAAATTATGCCCACAAAAAAACCCAGTGCACTGATGTTTATAGCAGCTTTATTTGTAATTTTCAAAACTTAGAACCAACCAAGATGTCCTTCAGTAGGTGAGAATTATAGATAAATAAACTGTGGTACATCCAGACAACGGAATATTGTTCCATGCTAATAAGAAATGAGCTATCGAGCCTTGAATGAGCATGGAGGAAACATAAATGCATACCTACTAAGTAAAAGAAGTTAATCTGAAAAGGTTACATACTGTTACATAATTCCAACTAGATGACATTCTAGAAAAGAAAAATACATGGAAGAAGAGCAATGGTTTCCAAGGGTTAAGTGGGGAGTGGGGGGATGAATGGGTGAAGCATGGAGAATTTTTAGGACATTGAAACTTTTCAGTATGATACTATAATGGTAGATACATGTAATTATACATCTTAATACCTCATAGAATACACACCAAGAGTGATCCCTGGTATAAGCTATGGACTTGGGGTCTGATAATCATGTGTCTATGTCAGTTCATCAGTTGCACCAATTGCCACTCTGGTGCAGGATGTTGATAGCCAGGGTGGGGAGGTAGGGAACCCTCTGTACTTTCCGCTTCATTCTGCTGTGAACCTAAAACTGACCCCAAAGTAAAATCTATTTAAAAGGAAAAATAATTCTAAAATTATAAAATTGAAGAATAAACTAAGAGCTGGTTATAAGATCTAATAAAAGTCACTAAATACCTCTGGTATTATTTTAATAAAATATCTTCTAATACCTTCATGAAAAAGCCTATGTTACTTTTAACCCTCTTTACCAGGAATCCTTCTTTTACCATAATATGGTTTTATTTTTACTTACCCAAAGGTATTTTTCCTTTAAAAATTGAGAGCCTTTTAAGAATGATATTGAAAATATTTCTGTATCGTTTTGTTTATCTAAATTTCTGTGATTAGGACCTTTGTTGTAGTTGAACTTATTGAACTTGTTCCTTAGTAGCTAAGAGACAGAATAAAGACATTCTTGCTATTCTCTGATACAATAAGCCTATGAATGTTGTATCATTTTAATGGGCCAAATATTTGAAATAAAACCTTGTGGTTATAGGAAAGACACTCATATTTCATGAAAAATATTGCTTGAGAAGAAAATACGTGAACTTTTATCCAAAAAAGTAAGTATATACAAATTTGCTACACACTAAATTTATCAATGAGAAGTCTGATTTATAGACTCATGAGTGATACAACTGTGGTGAATAATGAAACAGTCTACTGAGGCCATGGTATTGCTGAAGGCAGCCTTCTGGTAACCTGTGTGGTACCTCAGTCACCTCAGCTAAATTAATCTTGTCCATTCTTAACAACAGGAAACACCAGGATTTATTTTACATTGTGTTAGAGCATATGTGCTTCTCTAAAAAGGCTCTTTGAGAAAAGTCTTGGCTCTGCCTGAAGGTATTAACTATAGCAGACCTCCAGGGATAAGAAACACTAGTTCAGCTCTTAATTATTTTATCAAATGTCAGCCTTGCCACATAAATGCCTAAATTCTAAAGCGAGTGGGTTGCCTTTCAATCAACAAAACAAAACATCTACACTTGACAGATTCCCATCAGAAAACCCATGGAGACAATTGCTACTCCAGAATCATAAGAACAGACTAGCCATTTATTTCCCGTTCTGCTCTAATTTTCACTTTTGTATCTGATCACAAGAAAAAGATAGACATTTACTATATTACATTAACTCTTCTTATGCAGCTATGTCTTCTTGTACCTACAATTGTCTTTTATGTGGAGAATTATGTGAAATAATGATGTTATCTTATGCATTGCTTCATTTTTTGTCAATACATCATAAGAATTTATTGTGAACTTCCATCTCAATTACAATGCCATGTCATAAATTCTTCTGAGTTCAGAACTAGGACAATTTGTCCATTTCTAGTTATTTGACATTCTTTATCAAATGAGAATTATTCAGTTCAATGCTGTTATCTTTTCACTATGTCTGCCAGGAAGCTCAGTGATCTTTACTTCTGTAGCTTTATTAGCTTTCTCCATTTCCCATCTTTTGTCATCCTGCCCTTGTTTTCATTTTACAAAATTTCACTTTATCTCCAATATTACAAAACCCTTTACATAATAAAAAAGAAAAAAACACCAGGATGTTTGTTGAGTGGATACTATTTAGTGATGCATGGTACTAAATGAGAACACAGCAGCCAAAAGTCAGATGAAAGATGGGAAGGAGGATTTGAATACTCACAGCAAGTCAGACATCCAAGCAACGATGTCATAAAATGAAGTACAAAGTGTAATAGAAATAGGTACAAGTTGCAGTGGGAATAAAGAAGGAAAATATCTGTCTTGTTAGAAGAGAACTAGAAGACTTCACAAAAATGGGAACTCTTAACCTGGATCGTGAAGGATGGGTAGGAAATCGCAAGCAAGTATGTTTGTAATGTGTGGTAGGACATGAATCCCAGTACATGAATACAGAATTCATAAAACTTAGCATCATTTTTGTATTACCAAATGTATCTCCTTTGACCCTGCTACTGTTGTTTATTTTGAGTAAGCTAGTATCGCTCCTATGAGCCCATGAAATGTTCATCTGATTTAGGGAGTTCAAGAAAATAGTGGCTTTGATTCATTTTAGATTCCTCTAACTCTAGTGTCTTTTGCCTGGATGTTGACTTTTGAAACTCAAAGGTCAGGTATTTGATTCTTTTCATTCTTTTTGCAGTTTTGCTTTGTCATTTCTACCCAAAGGTAATAACAGGAAGATAAAACACTGCCAGGAAAGAGAGAAACCAGATACTAGAGTGCCCAGCATTGAGCATCGTAGCAAAACATCGCTAGCCTGAGAGAGGCCACAGTGGCAAAAGGGGTCTTAGATATCTGTCAGCTCCTTCACCCTCAGTTTAGGGAATAAAAATGCCATGCTAAGAAAGGCAGAGTGATGCTCTAGAGATCATCTTAGTCAGTTGGAGTTGTGGACTGCGCTTCTCATCCCTGCCTCAGTAATATTCCAGGTCTCTTCAATACATTTCCTTGATTTGGAGCACAAAATATTTGCCAAGGCAGTTTGTTACAAGGTATCAGAGGTGCATATTTCAGGCCTCTACTGGTAGAGTTTCAAGTACAGAAAGCAGAGCCAGAAACCTTCATTTTTAACAAGTCTCTCTGAGATTAATGCAAAAAAACCCTCTATCCAAGAACACTGAGTTAAAGTCTGAACTCCATAAAGGCAGAAGCCTATTTTTGCAAATCTTTTTATCCTCAGTGCCTACGTAGAACATGGTATATAGGAAATGTCCAACGTTGAATGGATGTAAACCATATTTCTAAAAATACACACCACCTTCATTTGTTGTTTGTTTCTAGCAAAAGCACTGCCACATTTGTTCTTTATTGGAATATTTTGAATTGCTATCTTTGAATTATTATGTTTCTGCATTTCTTTATAGATCAAGCTTTTCAATACAAAGCCCAGATCAAGCTTCTTCAACACAAAAAGCCGGCAGCCTCAACAAAATCCCAGGAAGCGGAATTCAAGCAGTGAAAGATAATGTTTTGTTGAAGTTGTCATTGTTCACCCTTCAAAAATGTAAGCTGTAATTCCGAACCAAAACCTAAGTTACTGTTTTTGGCATTTTGTGATTTATTGTAGCATTATCTTTATTCATGAGGAAAATATAGTGAAGTCGTTTTTCCTCATTAAATATGTGATGATTAAATATTTAGGTCTACAGAGTGAATTTCTGTACATTTTATGTACAAAATATTCTAGAAATGAGAGACTTTTTTTATAAATGAAGATAAGTGAGGATAATGATTTCACATAGAAAAATTATATTCATTGGCATCTAAGAATAAATCTAGTCTATAAAATAAGTTATGATGTTTTAAAATAACATCTGGGGAAATTGCCACACATGAATAGCCCGGTAGGAAAGAAGTCTAGAAGTAAGTATCCTGAGATCAGGACTTTTCCAACTTTAGCACATGATTCACCGGTTGGGTAATTAGTATTTCTTCATTTGATAAAGGTTTAGAGAGAGCCTCAGTATAATCAGCCCCTAATATGTTATCTCCTAGATTGCCCAGTTCGGTATCTCACAACACATGGCCTCTGCCTTCCAACTTTAATTCACATAATCTGGTTATCTGGTTCTGTAAGAATTACAAAAGTCCATTTCGATGGGGTAATTGCAGGTGAGTGATATCCAAGACTGAGAAAATGTAGATTATTAGATTTGGCAAAATGTTATAGCGTGATTCATATTTGTTGATTGTGAAAATGCTTTGGGGAGATTGAATTAGCAGAAAGAAGACCTTTTAGGAGGCTCAGAGAAAAGAATCTCAAGAGTGTAATATTGGAGTGAATTAAGTTATTTGTAGATCTAAATGGGCATGCCTAAAAATTAATATCACAAAAGAAGAGTGGTACATAATAGTAGAAAGTCAGCATATAAACCAGATTTGTTTTGACATTTGACAAGCAATTTTTATAGTGAAAGTAATCATGAAAATTCAGGATGACTATGTTTCTAGTGATTAATTCTGGCTACAGTATGACACAAGTATCCAGATATTCAGACAAAAGCACAAATGCTAATTCACTGGAAACATATTTTTCCTGTATTATTTGGATAATTGTTTTCCTATATTACTAAACTTTCTCCAGATGGTTCATAGTTTTGCTTTTGGAGTAATTTGTTTTGTTTTGTCTTGTTTTTTAAACTCTCTCCTTGTCTTTTCTTATAAAGCAACATCCATGGTCAGAGCCCAGAACATAATACTAAAATCATATTTCTTAAAAGTTTTCTACTTCAACAGTATATCTTCATTTCAATTGGTAGTAAGTCTTATACAACGGGATGATTGTCAAATTATTTAAAGTGAATTACTAGGTGACAACATTGGAGTTCAAGGAAAGGCTGTTGGGACAAGCATGAATTATGACCAACAGCTTTATTCCTCCCACCATAATTGGCCCTGATATTTGGGGCAATGCAGCTTAGATAAAAGATAACTTCAGGTTTTGGCAGTGACTACATTTGTCCCCAAACATACCAGTAAAGTGATTGGGCTTCACCATCCAGCCCTCAGTCACAACTTGCATTGCGGACCCTAAGCCCATTCCCCTTCTTGACTTCTTGATGGAAGCAAAGATGTCATTCTGAGTAGTGAACAAAGGCTCCGGGATAGGATGTTAATTTCATTCTTTCACAACACTCCAAGTAACTTTCTTTGTACTAAAACAACATAGGAAAGGACTAAGGGAAAACATGTCTGTTGAGTTAATATGCTGCCAATGGGAAGTATCATGTGCTTTACTGAAGGGACAAAACATAATGTGTTAGTCCATAAGAACCATTTTGTAATAAAACTAATTTCATATTTTTTAAAGTATATTTGTTCAGGGGGCATGGAGGGAAAAAAGAATATAAATGTATTTATTGCCACCGAACTATACAATTAAAAATGGTAACTATGGTAAATCATATATTTTACCTCAATAAAAAATAAATCTTAAAAAGTATATTTGTTCCTTTAGTGAATAAAGTAATAGGCATTTAAAGATATATTAATACAGTGGGGGAGGGGCACAATTCCTCAATTTCAGTAGACACTGTTTCAGGGCTTTCTTTCTCACTCATAGAACTACAAAAAGGTGATTTGTGATGTGATTTTGCTCAGCTCTTTCTCCATGCATATTATCTCTGTAAGATGAATCTCCTCTAAGACACGGATTGCCCTTTTATGCTGACTGCATGCGTGTGTATGCATAAAATGCCACATTTCCAATTAGGATGTGTATACTCAGAAAGGATGACATATCAGGGCTGTCAGGCTAAAAGCCCTACAGCTCAGGAGAATTTTCCAAATCACTCCGTGGTGCTGCCAAGATTATGGGACTTGTCTATTAGTTTTCTTCATCTTCTCTTTTCTTACCTTTGATTCCAAGTCATCCTCCCTCTCAAGCTACATATTGGATTTTTTTTGATAGCTCCAGAAATAAAGAAAATTGGTAATTTCTCTTACTAAAATTTAAATAATGCTTTGCTTTATCCCAAAGTAAGATGCACTCCCTGTTGTTCCCAATATGGATTAGTTTCCAACAACTTCACTTTCCCTCTTTATATGGAAAAATGAACAAGGTGCAATTGAACAAGATTGCTTTCTGTAGAAGGAACTGCACGAGGAAGTTTATATTGAAGTCTAGCACTCAATGGTGTGGCCAGTGGAAATTGTAAACATTTTGCAAGTGGAAATGCCATAATACATGTTAGTGGTATACCTGTTTAACAGAATGACACCTAATAGGATAATGATGGGAGATCTTCAGAAAGACATTTTAAACCCTTGAAATATAAATGTGATGTTCAGAAATACACAGTATTTTTCCAGAAATTTTTAAATCCTTATATTGTTGGCAATCAGGGAAAAAGTAATAGGGTAAATGTGGAAATGTTGGTATCAAATTAGAATGTCAAGTAGAGATATAACTTATTTGAATATATTGCTTTCAGAAAGTTATATCAATATTTAAAAGCATGATTCAGATTTTCACTAGATTTAACTTTGTCATATATTAAATTGTAATACAAAGCAAGAGGCCAGATGTGTGAAGTTTATAAACTATGTGGCTAAGGCAGAGAATTTGCATGCTGTTTTCTGAAAGCCTTGGTGATTTAAGCACCATAGCTATGGATGCCTCCAAGTTCATGTGAAAGTACCATTCACATCTTTATTACCCTGAGAGAGTTAGATAAGATCATAGAACTAGAGGAGACACAGTAGACCATTCTGCCCATTTTTTTCTGCTATTCTCAGAGTAATTACCATATTTTTTCAAGCTAAGCCATCAATAATGCATTCTAATGCTTTCTATTCCGTTCTCTACAACATTGGTGATAATGTCCTCATCTTGCTGTTAGTTTCTTTTCTCTAGTTTTCTAATCAGCCCTAGTTGATCTTTTTAAAAGGAAAGAGGCAATAACTAGCTAATTGACAAAGCACATTTGCTCTTCTTCAAAGCATATTACAGAGACAGCAGCTCAGCCCGTAGCACTTAGTCCTTCTGATGATTTTGGAGGATAAGAGATTTTATTATTCACAGGGGAAAAAATTAGACCAGGAAGAAGAAAGGCATTTTCTCTAGGCTTATTTACTCAACATGAATGTGGGCATACATTTAAGAATACCTATTTTGTTTTGTTTATCTGTTAAGTGTTGACACTACCATTTTAATGCTATAATGTTAGCTATTAAAGGCTTATTTTTATTAAAGGTTTAACAAAACAAAATTTGTGAACTCAGGCATAGTAGGTTTAGGGTTCCTCCCCCCTTAATATAATAGATTCTTGCTTTGTGAGATATTCATGCTTTCTGGCTGGATTGATGGACGCACAGAAAAGATTAAATGAGTTCCCTGGGATCATATCAAAATTTAGTGTCTCAGTTCAAATCAGAACCGTGGATCACAGCTTCATGCCACGTAGCTTCTTATGTTCATAAAACAATAGTTTTTGTAGTAAAGGAGATAATACAATTAATTTATCCTTGCTGTTAGTCAACGTCACTGATTAACTTCAATTCATTCCTCCTTGTTCTGTTGTTTAGTTTCTAGAGAAGGATGTGCAACCTCAGGGTCAAATTCCGGTTGGCCTTAATAAAAATGTTTACTTCAGCACCATATACTAAAATAAAATTTAATTCTTATATTCAAGATGTATAGAGATTTTTAAATTCTTACCACAAAAGAAAAAAACTATTATGAGAGCAAACAGACAACCCACAGAATTGGGAGAAAATATTCGCATGTTACACATCCGATAAAGGACTGCAAACTAGAATCTATACAGAACTCAGGATAATCAGCAAGAAAAAAAAATCAAACAACTCTATCAAAAGTGGATGAAGGACTTTGGTGCGAACCTTGCCCAGAGCGGGAGCTTGCACTGACTCGAAGGAAGGTGAGAGGATTTCAGAATGACTACTATCTTGACTTGCACTTTAAAAAACCTTCCTAGTACATCAAAATGGGCCCTCAGATTCCCTGTAAGATTGCTGAGCTGTTCCTCCCAGCTACGAGCTGCCCCAGCTGGCCAGACCAAATCGAAGAAGACCTTAGCCAAACCCAATGTAAGGAATATAGTGGTGGTGGATGGTGTTCGTACTCCATTTTTGCAATCAGGCACTTCATATAAAGACCTGATGCCACATGATTTGGCTAGAGCCGCACTAACGGGGTTGTTGCATCAGACCAGTGTTCCAAAGGAAGTTGTTGATTATATCATCTTTGGGACAGTTATTCAAGAAGTGAAAACAAGCAATGTGGCTAGAGAGGCTGCCCTCGGAGCTGGCTTCTCTGACAAGACTCCCGCTCACACTGTCACCATGGCTTGCATCTCTGCCAACCAAGCCATGACCACAGGTGTTGGCTTGATTGCCTCTGGCCAGTGTGATGTCATCGTGGCAGGTGGTGTAGAGTTAATGTCCGATGTCCCTATTCGTCATTCAAGAAAAATGAGGAAAATGATGCTTGATCTCAATAAGGCCAAGACCCTGGGCCAGAGACTGTCTTTAATCTCTAAATTCAGATTGAATTTCCTATCACCTGAGCTCCCTGCAGTGGCTGAGTTCTCTACCAGTGAGACCATGGGCCATTCTGCAGACCGACTGGCTGCTGCCTTTGCTGTTTCTTGACTGGAGCAGGATGAACATGCACTGCGTTCTCACAGTCTGGCCAAGAAGGCACAGGATGAAGGGCTCCTTTCTGATGTTATACCCTTCAAAGTACCAGGAAAAGATACAGTTACCAAAGATAATGGTATCCGTCCTTCCTCGCTGGAGCAGATGGCCAAACTAAAACCTGTATTCATCAAGCCCTATGGCACAGTGACAGCTGCAAATTCTTCTTTCCTGACTGATGGCGCATCTGCAATGCTGATTATGGCAGAGGAAAAAGCTCTGGCCATGGGTTATAAGCCAAAGGCATATTTGAGGGATTTTGTGTATGTGTCTCAGGATCCAAAAGATCAACTTTTACTTGGACCAACATATGCTACTCCAAAAGTTCTGGAAAAGGCAGGATTGACCATGAATGATATTGACGCTTATGAATTTCACGAAGCTTTCTCAGGTCAAATTTTGGCTAATTTTAAAGCCATGGATTCTGATTGGTTTGCACAAAACTACATGGGTAGAAAAACTAAGGTTGGAATGCCTCCTTTGGAGAAGTTTAATAACTGGGGTGGATCACTGTCCCTGGGACACCCATTTGGAGCCACTGGCTGTCGGTTGGTCATGGCGGCTGCCAACAGATTGCGGAAGGAAGGAGGCCAGTATGGCTTAGTGGCTGCCTGTGCAGCAGGAGGACAGGGCCATGCCATGATAGTGGAAGCTTATTCAAAATAATAGATGGAGAAGAGGTGACCTGAAGTTTCTGTGCAACACTCATCCCAGGCAATGCTATTTCAATGCATTACTAAGTGACATCTATAGTTCCTAGCTCCTCTTAGGAAAATAATACTGTGGCCTTCTGTTAAATACTTTGCAATTAAGCCTTGCCAGTATTCTAAGCTCTTCAATAATCACAGCTAACTCCTCTTTCAGGGATTTCTAAGTCACCAGAATCTCACACAGATATGTGTAAGTAGTTGCTTTTGGTCTCTGTTGTCATTAAAGACTAAATGTGCGGTTGTAGTTAGGGAAGAAGTTAGCTGAGATTTGGAATTATCTTCATAACATTTGCAAATCATACTTGTCCCTATCTATGTCCTAAAGATAAGTGTTTTCTACAAAATACAAACCAATGTGCCTAAATTAACTTAATTATGGAAAAACAATTCAGAAACCTGTAATAAATATTTAGATACATAAATATCATGGTGGTCAACCTTAATAAAGTGGAGAATATTGGGAAAAAAAGTGGATGAAGGACATGAACAGAAACTTTTCAGAATAAAGATAGACTAAGGCCAAGAAACATATGAAAAATGTTCAACATCTCTAATCATCAGGTAAATGCAAATCAAAACCGCAATGATATATATATCACTTAACTCCAGTGAGAATGGCCTTTAGCAAAAAGTCCCCAAACAATATATGTTGACAGGATGTAGAGAGATGATAGGAACACTTCTAAACTGCTGGTGGGACTGCAAACTGGTACAACCTCTGTGGAAAGTAATATGGAGATACCTCAAAGAACTATAAGTAGAACTACTATTTGATCCAGCAATACCATTACTGGGCATCTACCCAAAGAAAAAAAAGACATTCTATAAAAAAAACACCTGCACTCAAATGTTTATACCAGCACAATTCACAGTTGCAAAGATGTGGAAACAACCCAAGTGCCCATCAATACATGAGTGGATTAAAAAAAATATGGTATATGTATACCAAGGAGTTCTATTCAGCCACTAAAAACAGTGGTGATCTAGCACCTCTTGTATTATTCTGGATAGAGCTGGAGCCCATTCTACTAAGTGAAGTATCAAAGAATGGGAAAACAAGCACATGTACTCACCATCAAATTGGTATTAACTGATCAACACTTAATGTGCACATATAGTAGTGACATTCATCAGGTGTCGGGCATGTGGGGGGGAGGAGGGGATGGGTTTATACACACGTAATGGGTATGGTGCGCACCGTCTGGGGGATGGACACACTAAAAGCTCTGACTCGGATGGGGCGAAGGTAATATATGCAACCTAAACATTTGTTCCCCCATAATATGCTGAAATAAAATAATTACTTTGACAAAATCATCAGGGAAAATTCTAATGATTCCACATTATTAGAAATAATATCCAGTGGTGTTATTCTAAGCCATTATAAAATAAACAATCAGCCTTTCTCAGGTTTTATAATATAAGTGGATGAAAACTGGTCATTGCATTGAAGGAACTTATAGTCATCTTGGAAATTTGGCACAAGATACTGTAGACAAAAACAGTGCAAGACTAGGCGTGGTTAAGTACTAACTTCTGTTTTATTGGTTGACTCTACATTCAGTAAGAAATCATAAGAAATAAAAGTTCAATCCTGCTGCATAGAATAATTGAGAATATTTTCTTGAAGAAGTTCAGTGTTACACTAGATCACAATGGCTGGACAAACAAGTAGAAGGAAGAAGGATAGATACTCTAGGTGGACTGTGGGAAACTAAGCATGGGATGTTTCTGAGATAGTATAGGACATCTGAGATAGTGACTAACATGTAGTCTACATGTTTATTTGGTCATCAGCAAATATTTATAGAGATCCTCCTACTGTAGATACTGACAGAGAGAAAGAAAGGAAGACAAAATTCCTCTATTATTTATGGTCCCGACAGGAAACAAATGAAGCACCTAAACAGGGTAAGAGAGGAGAGTATAATAATAAGACGACTTAGAAAGATGTGAGCAGGTTTCAGGGAAGCTAACAAAGGACAGTACGATACTCTAAGACTAGCAATAGTGGGAGACACTTAATATCTTGGGGTTTGATGGGACAATGGGGGCGGGGAGGTACTGAAACTCAGGGAGAACAGATGCAGGGAAAGGGCTGCCTGACAAGTGATGTAGACTTCGGTAGAGTTATTATCAACTGGCTGTGACCAGCTGGGAGGAAATCTGGTGAATAAATATCCCTCTCCTGCCTCTCAACTTCCTGCTGTTTCCCACTAGGTAACTCTTGCTAGAAGGCAGGCAGCAAAGGAGCCATTCAGTATAGTCAGTGTAGACAGGATCCACAAGAATGGAGACTGTGATGGCTGCTCTTTTGTGTCCACTTGGCGAGGCATAGTACCCAGTTATTTAATTAAACATGAATGTAGACATCGTTATGAAGCTATCTTGTAGATATTGTTAACATATGTGATCAATTGACTTTAGGCAAAGTATGCTATTTTCGATAATCTGAGTGAGATGGGGAAATATGGAGAAGGCAGTCAAAAAGACAAACAAATATTCAGGAGAGAGACAGAGATTTATATAAATATTATATAAATATATCTAATTGATATTTATCTACAATCGATACAGAATTTAAGTATGTTAATTTATATAAATATAAAAGTAATACAAATATAATTTTTTATAGTAGGCTGGCAGGCTGGAAACTTTAGAGGGGAGTCTGAAGCTGAAGTTCACAGGTAGAATTTCTTCCTTCTTAGAGAAACTTCAGTTTTGTTCTTAAGAACTTCCAACTGATTGGATGAGACCCACCCAGATTATCGAAAATAGTCTCCTTTACTTAAAATCAATTAAACACAGATGTTAACTGTATCTACAAGGTACCTTCATAGCAATATCTAGATTCATGTTTAATTAAATAACTGGGTACCATAGCCTTGCCAAGTGGACACAAAAAAGCAGCCATCACAGTCTCTATTCTTATAGAGCTCAGATTTTTGTAGGAGAATACAAAAAAAATTTTTTTAATGTAAATATCACTGTTCGGGTGGTGCTAGCTACTGAGAAGAATGAAGCAGAATATGTGGATCAGGAGTGATGGGAGGTGCCGTTCTAGATGGGGGTAGGAGAGGGGTGTCATGGACATATTCAAGCAGTTGATCTTTCCATTGAGACCTGAACAAAGCCAGAAAGAGAGCCGGGTGGTTCTCAGTGGAAATGATTCCAGGCAGATGGCCCAGAGGTTCAAGGACCTGGTCAAGGCTGAGCAAGGAGCCAAAGTAGTAAGGAAAGAGCAGAGGAAATAAAAGCAGATGGCAACACGAGATCAGATTAGGGGCCTTTTAAGCATCTTAAAGATTTGGGATATTTTGAGTGACATAGAAAGCAGTTAAATTGTTTCAATCTGAAAAGTAATTTGTAATTTGACTTTTTAAAAAAATGAACTACTTTCGTCATTGGAAGAGAAAAGACCACAGGCTTCTGGAGTGGAAGCAGGAAACACACGGGACACCCTGGTCTCTGTCCAGGACTGGAGGAGCATTGTGGTGACAGAGACCGTGACGGTAGATGGAAGTAGATGGAAGGAAGAGTCAACAGGATTTGTTTCCTAGACGCAGTACACGTAAGAAAGAGAAGTCAAAGTTGGCTTGATGTTTGGCCTGAGCAACTGAATTAGTAAAATTGCCATTTACTGAGATACATAAGACTAGAAAGGGGCATATTTGGGTTTGGGAGGATGAGGATTCAGGAGGTCTAATTGAGAAATGTTAAAGTGTCTATCAGACATCCAAGTGGAAATGCTGAGCAGGCCGTTGGCACCTGAAATTCAGAAGAGAGGTCAGGATGTAGATGTAGATTTAATAAGCTGCCAACAGAAATATATAGGAAGGAGTGTGAAAGAACAATCAATAGGTATAATAGGTATGAAGGGGTAACTTATGATAGAGGATTAGTGAGCCTTAACAGTTAGATATATTAGGGTTAGATACATATAGGGTAGCATAGACACCAGGGTTTCTAACATTAACAACTTAACATGCTTGCCTCACTTTATTACTGTGAGCTCAGAAGAAACTGAGCTTTATTACTGTGAGCACAGAAGAAACTGTGCCGTATTCATTTTGGATGTTTCACACACAGCTAAGTAGCTATCACATCGTGGCCTCTTGGTAACTGTTTACTGAATGAATGAGTTAATGAATTGAAAGGAATTGTAATGTTAAGAGCTAGCACTAGCAGCTAGAGAACAGCTACACTCATAGCACAGAAAGTTTTTAAAAAATTAAGGAAGCTTCTGATTAATAAAAGATAAAATATAGGTTATATGTTGCTAAACGTCATATGAGATGTAAAAATTAAAAGATACAATAATTAGATGGGCTCAGTAGTATATCCCTGCTACTTGGGAGGCTGAGGTGGTAGGATCACTTGTGCCCAGGAATTTGAGGCTGCAATGAGATATGATTGAGTCACTGCACTAAAAAGAAAAAAAAGATACAATGATTGAATGATTGTCCTCAGGGAACAAACAACAGATATTGAATGAATGAATAAGAAAAACAAAATAATGAATGGTAGAATAATTTAAAGGTGCAGATGACTCATTTCAGCTAAAGTCACCATGCACTGTCCTACAGAGGAGGTAAGATTTGAACTGTAACTTTAAGAATAATTAAGCTTTTATACTTTGTGATTGAAGAACAACATTTTAGACAATAAATATCCTATTTACATGAAAAGATGCTCTATCTCACTAGTATTATTAAACAATGAACTAAAACATTAAAACAGTATACATTTTTCTCTATAACTTGGATTTTTAAAAAAATAATACCTATCTATAAAGACTTCTATTACAGTTTTCTATATAATAGCTAAGACCCAAAAAGATAATTAACAGCCAACAAAAATGAAACGGCCAAATAAGGAATGGTTCTTACAAGGGAAAACTATGCAGTATGAAAAATAATTTTGGGCAAGGCATAGTGGCTCATGCCTGTAATCCCTGCACTTTGGGAGGCCAAGATGGGAGGTTACTTGAGGTTGAGAGTTCGAGACCAGCTTGAGGAATATAGTGAGACCCTGTCTTTACAAAAAATAGAAAAAAATTATCCAGGCATGATGGCATGCACCTGTCATCCCAGCTACTTGGGAGGCTGAGACAGAAGGATCCCTTGAGCTCATGAACTTGAGGTTCCAGTAAGTTATGATGACACCACTGTACTTTAGCCTAGGTGACAGAGTGAGACCCTGTCTCAAAAAATAAAAATAAAAATAGTCTTGATGATAGAGAAGTTTTTTTAATATAATAATAAATTTTTTAAAGCATAGGAACTCAAATATATACTTTTTTAGGTTAATGAATAATTTCTTGAAAGGGAAATGAATTTTTAAAAGAATGGCCCTTTTAAGAGTTCCACTACCTGCCTAAAGAAAGACAATATTTCACCTTGCTGAGATGAATAACAGCATTACTAAGTGAGTGATCTCCAAATGTAACCATAGTAGTAACTTTTCTACAGTCCTAACTTTTTTCTTCGTCCTAACTTTCTACAAAGCAATGGTAAAAATCAAAAATAAAATAAAATGAATAAGCAAATAAAAACCTCACTTGGATTACAAAACGGCAATATTACAGATTAAAAAACGTTAAATCTACCATAAGTAAGTCATTGTCTTGAATGCAGCCATTCCGAGGCATCAACAAATTTATTAAAAATGAGTTTGGTCACTTTAGTGCCAGGCTCATAGTCCTTAATTCATCAAAGCAACTATTTAAAATATTTTATAATGTTGACAATTTTTGAAACTGGATAAGGGATACATGGAGATTGATTCCATCATTCTATCTAATTTTGTGTATATTTTTTATCATGAATTTTCTTCATGAGAAAAATTGAAAAATAAAATACTTTATATGAAACACATTAAGGTATGTCTAAGTCACAATGATTAATTTCCTAAAACTTAAATTTCTGAACTTTTCTCAATGACTATATGTACAATTGTATAGTTAACAAAATTTGAAGATACAAGAAACTTATTTAAACAAAGATAAACAATGAAATACCTATGTAAATATGTTTGTATAGGTATAAACTGCATGTGCATCTGAAGCATTATTTACTATATTGTAGATACTATTTTATAATCATTGATATGTATCAAACTTTGCATTGGAAAGGGCCTTCATCTGCTATAGAAAAGCTATATCATATTTACAGATTCATTTTTAATAACCTAGCATTTAATGTTAGTCAACAATTTTATCTTGATAAGCAAACTAATTCTACTAGGCACTTTCTTGTGTGGTTTTATTATTAAATTAATCTGTAATTTGACAGGCTGTTTTATTTTCCACATTAATACACTTTAATTACCACAAAATGATAAAAATATGTTAGAGGAATAAGAACCTTAGAAGTCATTTAAACTATGAAATAATTATGGGCAGGGCCAATGACTTTTCATCATTCCATCCCTAATTGTGGGCATTCAATTAAAATGTACTGACTTGAGGAGATTTAGTCTACTTTCCCATCCAGTGTAGTGTTCCTTCTCAGAGTACTCCTGACTGATGGATGGATTAGTCTCTATGCAAATCCTTCCAGTGAAAAGGAGTTCATTAAATACTCGTGTGTTTAATTATAGTTTTTCAGGGCTGCTATTACAAAGTAGTCCAAACTAGGTGTTTTAAAAACAACAGAAACCTGTTGTCTCACAGTTCTGGGACCCAGAAGTGTGAAATCAAGGTGTCAGCAGGGCCATGCTCCCTCTGAAACCTGCAGGAGAGAATCTTTCCTTCCCTCCTCCTAGCTTCTGCTGGTTGCTGGGAATCCCTGGCCTTCCTTGGTGTCAGCTTCAGTACTTTGATCTCTGCCTTGTCATAGGCCACTCCTTAAGTCTCTGTCTTCACATGATATTCTTCCCTTTTGTCTCTGTGTCTACATTTCCTTCTACTTATAAAAACACCAGTCATATTGGGTTAGGGGCCTAATGACCAACCTCATCTTAATTTGATTATATCCACAAAGGCCTTATTTCCAATATTTCCAGGTACTGGGGATAAGGACTTTATCTATCTCTTGAGGGATGTAATTCAAGCCATAACAGTAACATACAGGATAATGCGACACAGGTAATTGCAGAAAGTGGAGAGTGATCTTTGGCCAGTCTCTAAATTATCTGGGATGAGGTTTTCTCATTTTTAAAGTAATGGAAATAAATTGCATAATAATGAAAGACAGTAACATCTACTGGGGGCTCACCATGTGAGAGGCATATGTTTTAAGCACTGTAAAGTCATACTACAATACTTTTGAGTCCTCACAAAGACTCTACTAGCTGGTTATGTCCAGCTCTATTTTTGTTTGAGGTATAGAGAGGGAAAGTAGTTTTTCCAAGGTCACACAACTAGTAAATGGAGAAATTAGGGAGACAAACTCAAGCAGTCGACATCTTTTAGACATTGACTAGAGTAGATGGTTTATTCTGAGTCTGAGATCCTTGCTTCAAACTTTCATCATTGCTCTTAGTCCCACCTTTGTACTGCCTCCATATGAAAGGCCTTCAGATATTCTAAGATAGCTGTTATAGTCCTATGAGGCCTTTTCTTCTTCAAGATAAGCATTATAAGTTCCTTCAACCATTTTTTTTTATGTTGAATCACTTCTAAATCTTTCAATTGGAATAATCTTGGTTGACTATGCAGGATAGTGGAATTGTATTTGTTTACATTACCAGACTCCTAATTCAAACTCATATATGTACAGACAAAACCTCTTGATTGCCCAGAATTCACAAATTGTATGATGTGAATTGAATAAATGTATTTTTATAGATTCCACATGAATACAGCTAGAATGTAAAGCTTCATGACACATATTGATATTACTATTCGACTTTGAAGGCTAGGCAACTCTGAATATTTTAAAGGATTCGTAGTAACTATTACTTCCCTATTTATGATAAAAAGGTCAAGTAAAATAGGTTTGAAGAGCCTCAGGGATTATTTTCATGTAAAATTGCAATATCCCATTTTATATCACTTCTATGCTCATAAGAGATTTCTGAGAGGATTTAGTCAAACATGAAACTTTTTGTTCTATTTGTAAGTAATGTATTTTTGTTTCAGAATCAAATCTAATATGCTACTTTCTATATTTGGATCTTAAAAAATAACTCAAAATTCTCTTAAATCTTCATTTGGATCCACATACATGTGTCTGCAATTGGATTAGATAAATTGGAACTTCAGAAAAACGAGGTAGAGTTAAACTATTTCATGGTCTGGTTTCTTATTAAGAAATAATATAATTTTATCACAGGTCCATGGTGCCCTGGTGCTAGACAAATGCTGACGCCAACTGTAGGCTTTTATCAAAAATTAAATTTTGACGGAGAGCCAAGATTCTGGTTTTCAGCTAAGATGCTTTATATCTATGGCAGCTTTGTACTTCATGGACTAATTGCCATAATACATGATTATTGATGCAGAATCCTCCATGGGTTCCTTTTGGTCTAGTAGACTTGAATATTAAAAATTAAAGCTTTAACATATTCAATACTACAAGTGACTACCTTGTCAGAAATTTTCACACTTAAACCCTGACAGCCTCATCCCCCTAAAGTAAGAACACCCTTCCCTTTCCTCTGTTCTTCCACCCACTCTTTCTGCCTGCATACCATTAATATTGCTCAGACTGTCAGATCCTGGCATCTGGTAAATCTAATTCTTACTGGCCCAGAGCATGTACTAATTATATCCTACAGCTAATTAGAAAGCATCCTCTTTGCTAGAGAATAGTTTATTTAACTCATCAATGAATGAGACTTGGTTTGAATCTTGATTTAAAAATCAAAGGGAAATAGAAATGGGATGAGGTGGAGGGAGAGATATCCTTCATAAGCAGAAATTCTTGTTAATTAAAATTTAAAAATAAATACAGATTATGCACAAGGGCTAGATGGAGGGAATTTTAGACTAAAACTCTAGAACTAGAAAAATTAAAGAATATGTTTGTATTTCAAGAAACTCACAAAATATAAAAAATATGTTATTTTAAAAATCTCAAAATAAGAGTAGACAGTGACCTAATTTGAAAATCCTTAGAAAAGGATTGGGAAGGTTGTGTCTTATTGATGAATGTTTCATGAATAACATGCATGATTGAATACTTATGCTTAGGTTAAGTTCTTTTGAATAATCAAATTTCTATAATCTGTATTTATGTTAATTGTTTACATAGGATTTATTCAAGAAAAGATATAGCTCCTCACATTACCTGGGCTTTACCATGAATTTGGAGGTGACAATTGGTAAGCATTAACCGTTGCAATGTGTACCTAATAGCCTAGTTCATTCACTTTTTTTCCCTCTTTATCCTCACAGCCAAATCTGATCACCGCAAGTAGCAGAGAAAAGCATTTTCATGCTAATTTTCAAAATTGCTACCAATTTACCATGACTAATTAAAATGTGAGACTCCATAACATTTTAGGTCAGTGGTTGTTCACTCATGGGACCCAGGAACCATCTTTCTTTGAAGTCTCCCAGTGATTCAGTGTAGATTCAATTCAAGGATTGAGACTAATCATTCTATGGGATGGTTAGTCCCAAAAGATTGAGAAACCTTGAGAAAGGTTTATTGAACTGCTTAAGAAACATATATAAAAGTCAAAGATGAAAATAGTTATGTCAGCTTGGACAAACTCACAGCTAATGTCTGTATCCTACAAAGGAGAGTTTTGTAACGGGTAGGTGGAAATCTCTGAGAAGCTGATGATGGACTTCTCTCTCAAAAAGCACACATGTCCACAAACAGATGAAACTGGCACAGAAGGTGACAGGTGATATGTTTCACAGAGAATCAGAATCTCGAGAGAAATATCCCTGAACCCTGAAAAATCCCCAAATCACTGAAAGAAGAATTGTTCTCAAAGATGGAAGAGCTAAACTCAAGAAATGAAGTCCCAAAATTGTGCCTACTGGGCCATGTAGGCAAAGATTATATTGACAAGTAATGATCTGTAAGATAGAAAAACTGTCCCCAGTGACATTTATTATTTTTGTCTTATTTTAAGAAAATAGATATAGGAGCTTCCTGGGAAGACCTAATTCTTTCCTGTATTTAACAAGTTTCCCTCCTGATTGCTGCACTCAGCACCCAAATTGAAGAGGACTCATGCATTGCTTCTTCTAATCTAGCTCCCTGCTCCATTTTCCAAAAAGAGTTTTACAAATTGTATCTACTCCTTTTCCTTTAAATGATATTAGACTAATGCTGCTAAAGCAGACCCCCAAATGTTAAAGTCCTTTAGATTTCAACCTCAAATTGCTAAAGGGTTACAGTAGCTATCCACTTCCCGATCTTTTTATAGTCTGAATTTTAGTTCATTCTTTCTCTCTACAATCTCCACTCAATGCTCTCTGATTTTCTTTGAGCCATTCTTCGATGATCTCATTCAAATAATGTTCTTTAAATTTCCTCAATTCACCATCCCATATTATAACCCCAGAAGTGTAACTTAGGTGTTAAAATCAGCTCTGAAGTTATTCTTAACTATATTCACCCAGCCTAATAAATCTTAGACTATTCTATGCTTTTTTTAAAACACAGAATTATCAACTCATCAGGTAGTCTGAATCAAAGGATTCCTTAGAAGTTATAACATTTAAATCCATTGGTTTGCATAAGTAGTTCCAAGATATATCAATACTTTTTTTTTAAAGTTAAGAGTATTTCAAGATTCCTATTCACGCTGTTTTTAGTGTTTTTTCACTCAATCCATTTTCCTTGCTATTGTTATTAATAGACAAGCAGCAGACTAGGTTCATATCAGTGCCACACCAAACAGCATGGCACATGCTTCCAGCATAGGCGAGAATGAAGGGCCGGGCGTGGTGGCTCACGCCTGTAATCCTAGCTCTTGGGAGGCCGAGGCGGGTGGATTGCTCGAGGTCAGGAGTTCAAAACCAGCCTGAGCAAGAGCGAGACCCCGTCTCTACTATAAATAGAAAGAAATTAATTGGCCAACTGATATATATATAAAAAAATTAGCCGGGCATGGTGGCGCATGCCTGTAGTCCCAGCTACTAGGGAGGCTGAGGCAGAAGGATCACTCAAGCCCAGGAGTTTGAGGTTGCTGTGAGCTAGGCTGACGCCACGGCACTCACTCTAGCCTGGACAACAAAAAAAAAAAAAAAAAGAAGAATGAATAAAAAGACTAGAAAGGTAATATCTACAAAAGAAAACTATGCATCTCTATAAAAATATATCTACATAGAAATGTATTACAGAGGATCGATACAAAAAAGTTTTCTATCAAACAATGGAACATCTAAGGAATACTGAAGAAGTGATACCCACAGCATGGTACTTCTTGTTTCCATTTCTTTGTTTTATTAGTAGGTGGTGAGTTGCATTGGAGATTAATATATATATGTGAAATGAAGTTTTTCTGTTGTTTGGAGATATATCCAAACAACAGAAAAACTTCCTTTCAGTCACGACTAAAATCTTGGTCCTCTGGTAACTAGATTTAAATTTATTGCAGCCATTAATACTGACTGGTGCCCTTAGGTGAGCTCTCATTAAGGAACACTTAGGTAAGCTTATATGGAAATGACTTGAAATTAGGCCACCTACATTGTAACTGATATATGTTTGTATACTTATAAATACTATAATTTACTCTCCTCTCCCTAAATGGATACATCTTTGTTCAGATATAGTTTATAGTTTATTCCATATAGTTTCATATGTTGATAATGATTGGAAAAAAGTATAAAGCTTGGATGACCCCAAAGTTATCCCTAAGGAGCAAAAAAGCAATTATACAATGTCTAAAATCTTGCACACAGTATATGTTTATTAAATATTTAAAGACAGGCAGTAGAATTCAGAATCACTCTTGCCCATATAGCCAACCTAGTCCAAAAGAGCATTAGGTAACTTGGATAAAACTTACCGAGAATTTCTGAAGAATATATTTTTATCCAAAATGTCATAGCTTTCATTATCAAAATGTCCTTTGGTGCCTTATAGTTATCTAAACAATTATATGATACCAAAATGTGAGACATTACATAACTCTATAATTTTTTACTTCTTATACAATGTTTATAAATAGAATTTATCAAATTTGAATTTCATCACATATCTAAGCTCAAATACTAAGACTGTTTACTTGATACTAAGAAATCTTAGCTCAAATATGAAAAAGTAAAATGGTTAGTACTTTACAAACACTAAAATCAAATTATGACTCTTCCATAGTGCACTACACTGCCCTGTACCCATGAGTAACCACTTTTGGGAGACTCGACATAAAGTAGGAGTTCAGAGCCCTGTCAACAGACCATAATTACAGTCAATAATCTGCAGCCTGTGACTCAAGGAACAGCTTACCACATTATTAGCGAGTGGCAGTGAAGGCTAGAAAAGAATATGTAAAAATTAAAACAATAAAATCAGAAGTAAAAACCAGTGTTTGTAAAGGAGGTTCAAGGTAGAAAAATTACAGCTGCAGGATCTAAGATCTCACTCAAGTTCAGAATTTGGTACTATCAAGAATACAACCCAAAAATTATGTGTTCAAACTATTTGGGGTTGAATTTATTTGTAGGAGTTTTAAATTTCTATAACCTAAGCTACCAGCAGGGCCATTTTAACTAATAGCAGCTACTGTTTGCCAATTCCAAGCTTGAAACATTAAAATAAAAATAACATTAAAAGGGATAATTTAATAGGAATAGCCATCAATATTTGATTTACACAGAAAGAACCATCTCCCACCACTCATCAACTAGATTTCTGAACACAACTAGATAAATAGTGCTACCTGCAAGTCATTGGTCAAAAAAACAAATATGTAGGTGTGTATGTGTGTGTGTGTGTGTGTGTGTGTGTGTGTGTTATTTTAGCTCATAGACCTGTTAGAATAAAATATTTTGGACAGGGTAATTTATAAATAACAGGAATTTATGAGTTTATTTTTCACAGTTCTGGAGGCTGGGAAGTCCAAGATCAAGGCACTAGCAGATTCAGTGTCTAGTGAGGGCTCACTCTCTGCTTCAAAGATGGCACTTTCTTGCTGCACCTTCACATGGTAGAAGGGGCAAACAGGCTCCCTGGGCCTCATTTTAGGATCACTAATCCAATTCATGAGGGCCCCACCCTCATGACCTAGTCACTTCTGAAAGGCCCCCACTTCTTAATACCAACACACTTGGGATTAGATTTTAACCTATGAATTCTGGAGGGACATAAACATTCAGAAAATAGCATCTCTTAAAGGCCTTATCTCCTAATACCATCAACCTTGAGGGTTAGAATTTCAATATGCAAATTGGGGCAACACGAACTTTCAGACCATTATATAAATTTTTTTACAGTAATATATGCAACATATATTATGTAGTAATATAATATGTGTGATACATAATATACACTTATACTCTAGTCATAGTATTAATTAAAAGAAATACTCATCTATTTAAATCAGCCAGCAGCCTAGTGGAACAAATCATGTATATCAGGGTGGATTTGAAATGTGGGGAAAAGAACAATCTTTGTTTGCTACATAAAAGAAACTATGCCTGGTTGGAACGCTGCCATACCACTAAGCGATCTGCTGATAACTTGTGGCTCAGAATGCTGCTATCATCAGATTCCTTCCTTTGGTAGTACTATGCACACTTTGATGTTGAGATAACATGTACACTTCATATGCAAGATACAATGGGAGCAAAAATTGCTCCCTTGATTTAACCAGTAGTTATTCATGAATGTCGAGCAGTGCGAAACTGTGGTTATTTGCAGATCCTCATTAATAACACCTCAAACTATTTCTGCAAAGGCAAATGCACTTTGACATTCAATATTTTTCCACAATTATTTGAATTCCCTCTGAACAGAAGTAGAAAATAGGTCATCATACCCACAGTTCAAATAACAAGACAGTTTATTTTAGAATTGTGATGGGAACCAATAGTTTTGGTGTTCTAAGAAACAAAATTTCTCCTCCTTCCACAACATAAAATGCCAAAATAATATTCCTTTTTTTCAAGGATATTGTGCAAAAGATAGTTCTATGTTTAAAAATCTCTTAAGTGTTCGAGACTCTGTCTGTGAAATTTATTTGCTCAAACTGAAACATAAGATCTATAAAACCTAAGAAACAGCGATAGAGGAAACTGGAAAATCATAACAACAGTGACAGCTTTGAAAGGAAGAAGTGGCAGAAAATAAAACCCTCCCATTTGTAATATTAGTTATAAATTAGGTTACACTTGATGCATTTTAGGCATTCACCAA